GTCACTGGCTTCACTGGCACAAATGTTCGTTGAGGTTGGATCTGTTGTACCACGCATTTTGTTGCTGAAAGAGATAATGTAAAACTTTTATCGTTACGATGGTTATGAGGAAGTGGGATGGTTGGTAACTGCGGTTGTTGTACCTCGCGGCTGAGTGGTCGAGCAGTACGGTTCTCGTTTTGAGTGGGAAAAGTCAGGGTTTCCATTACCCGTTAAGCCCATGGTTTACTTAAGTAGAGGTCTGAGAAAACACTTCTGTTACTAACGGCGTGCAGAATTTGGCACGGTAATGTTTTGGTTCGGCACTCGGTCCCTTCCTTGCTTCAGTGGCGCATCTCTCAGGTAGTGGAAAAGTGAGAGGACTCCCTCCCGTTTATTCCCTGCGTTTTCTTCCGGCAGAGGGTAGGGTAGGAGTTTTGTCTTTATAGTTGTTTCAAAAAAAATGTGAGTTTCATACCTGTGGTTCTCTCATAATAAGAGATATTGGGACGGTTTTCTCTTCACCATGGTTATGACGAATTGGGAAAGTTGTTGACTGCGGTTGGTGCGCTTCGCGGCTGAGTGGTGTAGCGGTATAATTCTCGTTTTGGGTGCGAGAAGTCGCGGGTTTGATCACCAGCTGCGCCCAGTCCTTTGTTGGCTGGGCATTAGGGGGGAACACCTGTGGTTTGCGTTGGACTGGATCTCGAGCTTTTGCGACCAGAAGCTATTGCGTTCAAACCTTTTTTTGCTGATTCTCTGGTGCCGATTTTCGTTTGTTTCTATCCCGAAGTGATGTAGTCAAGCATAAATTCTGTTTGCATAATTTCCAAACTTTGGCTTTAATAAATGTGGGTAGAGTTTTCTCCTTGTGAATTGCGATCTGCCACAAAATGTATTATGCGTTTGTCCAGCGGCGTGTAGACAGAAATACGTCGTACAATAATTCTTTCAAAGAACTTTTGAAGCTCGCACATTAATCAAACCTGCTGACAGTGTATTTAACTGACGTGAGTCCCACTTTTTAATGACTAGGAGAGTGGCAATTATTGCACCCTCTCCAGCTGTACAATACAGCACACAGACGCAAGTGTTTTTGAATTTGTCTACCTTTTAAGTTTCAAAAACTGACTTACGGCCCAACCAAAGCTCGATTACTTTGCATTTTTGCAAATCCTTTTTTTACTAACCATCCAAAGATAACTCAAACAATTTGTTCTTACTCTAAACGTATATTTCAATAACTGTCAAAATCATGCAGCTTTTGAGTGGTTCTTTTAACAGCGATTATTATGTCTTTATCTCTCTACAATCACGCTATTTACTAGAAATTACTAAGTTAAGAACCTGTATGCAAGACTTCTGGAATTATGACAAAGAACCACTGCTAACAAGCTAACAAAATAACTTTGAAACTATCGTTTCACCCCTGCTGTTTACTGTCTCCTTGTTCCTGTTAATTATATTATTTAAATCCCATAAACTTATTCTCGCTGATTTTAGTCACGTCACAACTATCCACGTGGTAGGCACAAGTTCCACCGTTAAGGAGGTATATTTCTGCTATTATAAATACCATTTCATGCGACACAAACTACCGAACGCCTAGATTACTTCCGTGGTGAACAAGTTCAAGTTTCATATGCGCTGAGATGCTTTTATTAATTCTATTACAATTTTCTTGTGTTTACCATAACTTCTTCACCAATTCAATTCATTTTTTCTCGGTTCGAGGCGTTTGATTCCTGGTAAAACGAAAAACATTGCGTATTCTAATTTCTGAAATAGTTTGGTCTACGACTCCAAAAACCAACCGCGAAAACAAACTGCTTTTTTAAGTCTTACAAGCAGAATCAACGACGACATACTGCACTTCTTACATTTGCGAAATAAACGTAAATTTTTTCAGGCTTTACTTTTTGGCTAACTTACCTGAGATATTCATATGCACTTTTTGCTACTAAAGTTCAAAATTGTTTTTACTTGTTTCTTTCCGTTTTCAATATCACGCACTATTCTCTAACCCAAAACTTTGACCGTCATAGTTTTCAATGATAAAGATGCGTTGAAAATGCCGACTGATTTATTGGACATTCGAACCATAACTTGTGTATTTTCTTTAGCTTCAGAGCTGCGACTTTATCTCGTTTACTTCATAAAGTATTGAATATAACAGACACAGCTTTAAATGACTGCGTTTCAAAGCAACATCTTTTAATTTTTTCTCAGAATTTATTTTTAAAAAACCAATGTTCCCCTATTTTTTAACAAGACAATTATATTCACTTCACAAGTTTTAAGAAAAATTGTAGTGCAAAACCAAAAAGTTAGAAAACTTTTCATCAGCCTGATAAGAATACACAGGCACATCAGGCAAACAAAAAAGTTTGGCTCTATCTTCCACTTTTCCAGCAGCTCTGCTACCGGAAAAAATTCTTAAAAAATAATTGATTAATTGACTAACCATGTAAAAAATAAGTAGAACAAATCATCACAAGTGAGTAACAATAAGACGTCAACGCTACTGCAAAACGTGAATCAATATAAGCTTGACAACACCAAGAATCCACACAGAAACTATCAAATAAACTACCATGAAACCCCATATAAATTGTAAAAAGCGGCAAGTGTGAGTCCTATCCGTATGAAATCGAAACACAGTGGTTTTCATCAACCTTTAAAATAAAAAAATATTGCGTCGTTTACGGAACACATATACAGAAGACCGAAAGAATGCAAAAGAAATAGTTAAATGTGTGCTTGTAAAAAGACATAAGAAGAAATGAAAAATTACTATTCAATTAAAGCTGTAGATGGTGTTCGGTAGTAACAGAAGTACAGTACTACTGCCGATAAATTTCATTTAGTTTTTCCATCTATAATTAAAAAATTAGACGCTGATATATTATCAAAGCTGTAAGAAAAATAGTTTATCCACTTACCTGCAGTATTTGATAAACGCCAGGTTTTTGCTCTGCATAAACCAGTCCGCCAATAATTCGGGCAGGGAAGATTTCAAAAGGCTTAACCTTAAGTTCTTTAGTAATGCATTTACAATAAAAAAAATCTCGTACAATTCTTGTTTACAGAAATTTAACAAAACAAACCTCATTCGAAGACCTTGCACTGTATTTTTCATCACCATATCCAGAAACACGTTGATTTTGAGGTCTTGGGACAATGTCGACCAAAAAGTCAAATTTTTCATTTCTTAAATAGATAAGTAAGATGCAAATAAAAGGAAACGTACACACAGATGGCACAAAATTTAGTGTTTTAGTACATAGTACATTTAAAAACATCTAAAACCAGCAGTGACACGGTTCTCGTGGTTGAATATAATGTCCACAAAGTGATTTTGTGCTGTTTACGGTTCTAGTTGGATGTACTCAGTGTAACACCAGGTCGCAGCGATAACGAACAGCTAAAGATCCAGCGGTATTGAAAAAACTTTAATTGGAAGTTTTTGTAATAAGAGCTTACTGCCCAAGTTTTCCAACTTTCTCGCTGTTAAGCAACTCGTTCTTTAGCACTTCCTGCATGGCAGTAAATTTTTCTTGCACGCAATACCTAATAGCTGGACAAATTATATAAATACTACAGAAACTGCTATGTTAAACAGCTAGAAACGGATCCTTTTCTTAATTCGCTTACGTTTGCACCAGCCTCCCATTCTGATTTGCCCAAAAAGTGGTATGCAACAATTGGCACAATATCAATAGGCTACCGATTCAGTCACGACTAAAGTTTTTTTGCAAGAAACGTAAGTGGCGTTCTCAACGCAATTTAACCTTAGGCTTTTTTAATCTGAAATACATAGTTGTCCTACTAAGCTAAAAATCAATGCTCTCTTAGCTTTTAAACTTTTCAGTTTAATTATTTTTGAGCACTTTCTGGTACACGCAATCTACGAACTTTTTTGGGACATTTTTGATCCCGGATAGTGTATAGCTACAAAAATACTACATTTCCCATAACCTACGTGAAGCCCGCTTTTAGGGTATAGGAAAGAGGGTCAAAAATTTGAAGTTTTACGAAATTTCTTGAAAAGAACCGAGCAGTCTTCCTGAAGTAGTAAGTACTATGGCTGACAGCACGCTACTTTAAGTAAACAACCATCTCTCGTATAATGCAACATAAGTCTGTATCTCTTCGCTCATCAAACTTAATGGTAACTATATTATTATGCCCGTAATTGCTGGCTATCTAAGAGGCACAAGGATGAATTAGAGAACTTGAGTGGTTAAATTTTGTGTGGTGGTGTCTGATGACAATTTTTGCAAAAAAAAAATTTTAACGCCTCTGTGAAATAGGCACATTTAAACACCAAATGCACGAAACAAAGGTTGAAGTGAAAGTTAAAATTTTACTGATTGAGTTTACCTTCTTTAGAGTCAATTAGTTGATTTATCTATATTTTGATCTACAGAACATAATCTATTTTGTCAAAAAAATGGTATTTATTTTTTATTTGCTGACCTTTAATTCCCTCATAATTCTATTTTGATTTATACGGCCGCTAAACAAACTGCAGAGTGCTAAACTAATGTTGAAGTGAAACGATGAAACTGAAGGAACATTAGCAGCACACCAAATTTGAAGAATTTATCGTTTTGTAAAACAAAACAAAAAAAAAAGAAAGAATGGAAATGGGTGTACGTGTCCAACAAGTCTCCGCCAAATT